ATTTGATTAATAGTAGTCCATCAGTACCTTTAGAGGAAAACTTAATTCAAGAAGCCTTGAGTGACAAGAAGGTAAATCTATCTCATTTAAAATTATCTGGGTGTTCTACGTATGTAAATTGATGTGGGTTCCAAGAGTAAGCTTAGTTTGAAAGCTATCAAGTGCATCGTCATTGGATATGACTCAAATGAGTTTGAGTATAAGTTTTAGGACTATCATAATCAGAAATTCATCAAGAGCATGGATGGTACATTAAATGAAATGAAGATATACAATGACAAGGCCAAAACTTATGATAACCAATCAGTTACTTCTAAAGATTACAAGTACGTTGAGATAGAAGACATTGGTGACCAGGAGTGTGGAGAAACAAGAAGTGTTTAACTAGATCAAACACAGGAAGTTCCTCAGTCACTTGCTACTGAAGTCGGGAAATCCAAGAGAGTGATACGATTGATACACATGTATTCTCTTTCATTACATTTTTTATTGTTAACTGATAGTGATGAACTAGAGTGCTTTAATAAGGCCATTCAAGTTAAAGATTCAATGGAGAGTGAGCTTGCTATGGATGAAGAAATGCAATCTTTGGAATCAAATCAGACTTGAGATTTGATAGTATTATCAGATGATAAAAGTGCATTAAGCAATAAGTGTTTTTACAAAATCTAAGATGTGTAAGAAGGTACCAGACACTACAAAGAAAGGATTGTCGTAAAGGGGTTCCATCAAAAGAAATGAGTGAATTACATACAAATTTTTTTCTCTATTGGTAAAGATGAAAAATGTCAAAGTTGTTTTGATTCTAGTAGCATAGGAAGATCTATAACTAGAGCAACTGGATATAAAAATAGCTTTCTTACATGGAGATATGGAAGAATAATTATACACAGTGTAAGCATAGGGTTACAGAGAAAGAATGTTTGGTTGATATGTCGAGGAAGAGCCTATTTGTCTTGAAGCAGACCCTGAGACAATGGTATATGAGGTTTAATAAGTTCATCTCAGACAGTGGGTACATAAAGTACCGCTATTACTTCATAAAATGCTTCAATAATTATCATATCTTCTTCCTTTTATGTGTGTATGAAATGTTAATTTTAAGGGGAATTATGAAGAAAATCAATGGATTAAAGGAGCAATTATCAAGTGAACTTGAGATGAAGGATTTAAGTCCAATTAGAAAATTATTGGGATGAGAATCTGTGGAGATAGAAGTGCAGGTTGAGCCAGTTTGAGGTAGAGACCTCAAGCTATCTATGAGTTATCACCTAAGTCTGAAGAAGAGCAAGCAAAAATGGGGATAACTTTGTATGTTTCAACAATTAGAAGTCTGATGTATGTTATGACTTGTACGAGACCAAATATTATATTTTGAGTGGAGTAAGTAGTAGGTATATGGGCAATCTAGGCAGACACCATTGGGAGGCAATGGAGTAGATTCTCAGGCATTTGAGGGAAAAAGACAACATGAAACTTTACTATAAAAGTGCAGAGAAAAATCTACAGAAGTTTGTAGATTCATATCTAACAGGAGACTTGGGTGGTCGAAGGAGTACAACATGTTATATCTTCACTTTGGGGAACATATGGGTGAGTTAGGTTTTCAAGTTGTAGAAGATTATTGCTTTCAATAATAGAGGGATAATTTAGGCTAGTAAGAAGGTGATTTGATTATAGGGCATTATGACATAATTGTGCAATGGGCAGAGAATTAGAAAGCTTCATAATGACAACATTAGTGCAATTAAACTTGCTAAGAACATTGTTGTTCATGCCAGAGCAAAACACATTCAACTGATGTATCACTTTATATGTTATCTCCTTGAAAATTGATATTTATTCTAGGAGAAAATAAACATGCCTCGGAAGTGTATGAACATATTGAAGAAGGTAGTGAAAACCAAGAAGCTAGAGCTATGCTTGGCTTCAGTTAGAGTTAATTAAGTTTGAGACTGGGGGTGAGCCACACCCAATATGGGGCTATAAAGATGGTACAGATGGAGGCGCATCTCTTGTGGACTGGTGTTGGGTGCTTTCAGTCTTCAAGTGGGTGATTGTTGAGGTGTGAATCTTGGAAGAGCACTCATAGCCACAAGGAAGTTGAGCAAGCAACATAAGTATTTCTAGAGTGGTGCACTTGTGCCTGGGTAAAGCACCCGAGCTGGGTTCTTCAACACATCCACACCAACTAACGAGTGTCGTCTATTTAATGCATACACGTCCGATTATAGAGGGCACAAAAATCTCACACCAAGGAGTGGCGCGGGAAAGCCTGGTGCACATTACTTTTTTTGTTTTAGTTAAAGTTCTAGCTAAGAAGCAATGAACTTTCGTGTGTGATTCTTTCGATAAGGTTTCTTGTTATTCTAATTCATGTCAAAGAAGAGGATTTCAAGGTGTTTTTGTCTCGTGACATCAAGAGAAAAAGTTTGGAGCAAAGTTCAATAGCTTCCATTGATTATAGAGAGAAGATCCGAGTGAGTAATTTATACATTTCTGAATTTCACAATTAAATTTTCTTGGTGTTGTGACTCCATAATTTTTTTCCTTCTCAGGTTTTTCAATGTTAAATTCTGGTATATTTTTGTGGATAGTTTTTTGTTAAGCTTTTGTTTGAATATTTTGTTTGATTTTTTCAAAACAGTGTGATCCTATTTTATGGTGTGGTAATATAAGATCACCATCCCAACAAAATTGAGGTGATTTGATCATTCAACATAACTAATGTTCCAAAATACCCTTTCTCAAGCATCATAAGAATCTCCCTAAAAAGGAAAGCATGAGCATGACTTCTCCCCAAATTATTTTTCTTCATAGAAAGTTTCATCATTTTACCTCTATGTTTATATACAAACTTAGGCATCATGATATCTTCCTAATGAATAAATTTTAATGGTAAGCTTACTATTTCTTAACTTTGTATGAGATAAACCCAATGAAAGATGACATCTCTTGAGAAAATCAATTCACACAATGCCCATGTTGGCATGCAACATTTTAAGGCCATAAGTGAGAGCATATCCCACACTTAATTTGGGGACTTTTAGTTATTTCTAGAAATTTTTGAAATAATAACTAGTTATTCATTAACTTATTGCTTGCAAACTAACACATTTTAAGAATGTTTTCCATTTTTGCCAATAACTCTCACAATATATGGAAGAAAGAGAATAAATGAGAAAGATTGCTTTAACATGCTTAGTGTCAAAGGAACATAAAATAAAAATATCAAGTACATCTTTATTAATTAAAAAAGAGTATTAACATAATAAAGAGTACACAAAACTCATTTTAATTTCTAAGGAATTGCACAAAATAATAAAATACATGAAGTGGCTCAAATATTATGACTTCTGTTGTACATTGACACAACTCAAAATTTAAGTCAACTAAAAGAGTAGGTTTAGAGGATGCTTATTTTTTATTTATCTTGATTTTTTATAAGTAGGATTTTTCTAGGGCTTGTGAACTCACAGTAGAAAAGCAATATATCAATAGTAGTTGAAACTAAGACTTTTTCAAAGATTTATTTGTAACTAATCACCTTTGCCACTCTAGAATAACCATCGATGTATAGAATCATCTAAACCATTTCAATTATTTTCAATGATTCTAGCTTGAAAGAGACAATATTTACAACTCAAGTTTCATACTCTAAATAATACTAGATATTTTAAAGGCTACCAACAAACAATTCATTCATACTTCCTCTAGAAACTAATCTAATAGTGACCTTCAATGGTAAGAACTTCAACCCTTAAATGAAAAATACATATAGTCTCTTACTACCTCCAATATTACAAATTCGCTCTCATAAAAGTTTTATCTTCCACAATCCAAATTAAATATTAAGGAACTCAACACTCTTAAGCTAATAATCTTAATAGCTAAGACTTTAACCACTACAAAGTAGGATCAATCTATTGTAGGTTTTTTTATTATGATCATAGATAAATCCCTTATGAATTTAGCTTCACCTCCTTAATAAAAGGTTTATGTTAATTGTGTAGGCCCCAAATCCCAAATGATTATCAAAATTCTTTATAAATTAAGGTCTATGAAGTATGTGTAACAATGTCTACTCCATTGGGTATACACAAATTACACAAATCTTTTAGATATATAGAATCTACTAACTCTATTAAGTGTATTGAGATTATTAAACTGCATTTATTACATGAAGATTACTCAGCTCCATTAGTTATATGGAGACTACCCAACTCTATCAAATATATAAGTACTACCTCACTTCATCGGGTATATAGAAATTACCCTACCCCTTGAAAATATAGCTCCAAAAAGCCATCTTACCTTAGAAAAACTCTTATGTTAAAAGTTGATTTTGTCCCTATGAAGGGTTGTGATATTATAGCACAATCACTATTTTGTTTAAGATTTACAAATAATTTCAAGATTAAAGAAGACTTATTTTTTGTGCCAATGTTACGTTAACATTCAAGTGAAATAAGCTTTAGGTCATCTAGACTATTGGGTAAATAATTTAATAATAAAAGATTAAGACTAAAATTATTAATATAGATTAAAATTATTAAAAATAATTATGAAAAGGAATTCAAAATTTCATACAGTACTTCAAAAAAAAATGATGATTTGCAAATACAAACCCAAATTGTCAGGATTAAGCTATAAGAATGATGCTTTTGACTATCAAACTATCATAATCGTTATCTTATGCAAAAGAAAAGGTGTCTTGTAATTTAAGACAAGTAATGTGACATTAAACTTAATAGTATCTCAATATTTTCTCCATAATAACAACAAACTTGTACTAAAATAAACTAAACATTTTGGCCGAAACTTTTTTCTTTTTAATTTTTATTAACAAGCAACCACTACAACTAGTGTAAAACTTGATTAAATTAGACTGGAATTAATAAATTATTATATATAGAAATATATAAAACCAAGTAACGAACTATAAAGTGAAAGGAATAACAATAAGAAAACTAATTTTTGCATTATGCCAAACTACAATGAGAAAACTGATATTTGCATTACGCCAAACTTTAACATCTGTTCAAACTGTTGACACTCGATTAGAAGGGAGTATATAAACTGGCCTTCTTACCTTCTATTAATAACCAAAAAAACAAAAAAAAAAAACAAAAAAAAAACCAAGTTCAAAGAGACATTTAGGGGGAGGACGGAAAACTAGGCTGCTCCAATCAAAGCTAAAGCATTCACTGGTTAGGCGTGCGGCATAAAAACCAGGTGTTTCTGGGGTTACTTGTAAAGAGGGGGTACTCCCTTCAATCTTTCCAGGTCCAAAATTATTCCTCAAACATAGATCACACGGTGTAATGTTGATTGATGTTTTCAATGTCGAGACCCTTCAGCTTCACTACAGACTCAACATGGCCTTTCAATGTGTGTAGCTCACGCAGCCTGCAAACCATTCATCATCAAAAGATTCAATTGAAATGATGTGAAAAAAATTCTCAAGAGGTTTTAAATTCGGCAAAGAAAACAATAGGTGCAAGCAGAAATATATATATGTACCTTGCAACCTCTGCGCGGCGTTTGGCTTGCTCGGCTATCTCGGAGAGTTCACGATAGCTGCTCTTGTCATTGAAGACTGATGTAGTCTCAGCGGTTTGCAGGCCATGGAGAGTTCTCTGCGCCATGGCCCATTGAGCCTCCCTCTCCTCTCTTCCATAATCCTTCTTTGTTGTGAAGGCAGTCTACAGAAATCCAAAGTAATCGAATCAATCAGATTGATAATTGGAATGTTAGATTTGAAATTGTGAAGAAGGTTTAAAGCGATGGGGGATTACCCTATTCTCAAGAAGGTTGTCCCATGCCTTTCCGCTGAGGATGTAGCGGACAGCAAACTTGAACAAATCTAGAGGGAAAAAGAATATTAAGTTGTAGAGCCATATGACACCAGCCCAACCCCAACCACAACCTTTGATTTTGGCAAATCCCCAGTTTGCGTAGACTGCTATGAAAGTGGCAACCTGATAATGGATGAAAAACTTTTAGTCTTCCCATTATTTTCAAGTAGAAAATAGCTGCTAATCACCTTTGATGCAACACTCGATGACATCAAGTCAATATTTAATACATTGATGTAGGGAGGATGACACTATTTTATGTTCATGAAGTTAAGATCCACCAACAAGGGAATTGAAGGATGTTTTTGTGTCAATTATGTGAAATTTAGCATATGATATTAAATCCCTAATTTCAATAATAGAATTATTAAATCTAGAGCTCATTTGTCATTTCATTAAAATCAAGCAACATTATCTTATCAGAGGTGTGTTTGTCAGCATCTATATCCAAATAAGCAAGAAATCTATCGATAAAAAAAATGATTGAGACATGAGGAACATAGGGGCTTACAAGTTGAGCAATGATGAATGCGCTGAGAAGCAGAAGCCCAGGGCGCTCAAGAAAGCACCAGCTTCGAGAGCGAGTGACGAATATGAGTGCCTGGCTCACAATGCTGACTTGGAGATAGAGTGCAGCCATCATCTCATCAGGGCTATTCCTCAGTGATCGAACACCAAATTTATCCTACATTGCCACAATAAAATTATATGAGATTCTCAAACTTTTGATTTCATCTAACAATAACTCAACAACAAGAGATAAAGCTAACCGAGAAGAAGTCTGTTTGCTTCATTGCCCAAAAGAAGATGACAGTCATCAAAGCCAGATAACTACCAAGAACAACTCCGGTTGCAAAGATTTCTTTGAGCTTCCAATTGTCTGGCAGGGGAGATGGTTTCACTCTATCTTTTGAAATTGTCATAATTGTACCTAAAAATTCATCACATTTGTTACATGTCCAACATTAATAATTACCTGAATGTTTAGCATAGATTAAATGATTTAACCATCAAATATTAAATGAGTTCAGGCATACCATCATTTAGGATGGCAATAATCAGAACCATGAAAGGTGAAAAGTCGAATTTCCAAATAAGAGCAATAAGTAGAAAACCAAGCTGCACAGATTCAACAGAAGTATAGTCAATTGTGATGGAATCTAATTTGACAAAATTACTCATATAACCCTCTCTTAACTTTTCATATACTTACCACAATACGGATGGTGATGGAAACTGCATAAATCTGTATGGTTAATGAAACAGAAATAACAGTGAGTCATGAGTTCATATATATGACTTGAAATAGTTAAATTAAATCCATCGGTTGTAAGAACAAATTAAAATACCGTATAGTTTTTCATCCTTTGGAAGATTGCCCTGCTTGTTAGAACAGCACTGATAATAACACTCAGCCCGGGCTCAGTCAGAACAATATCAGAGGCACTTCTAGCAGCATCAGTAGCATCAGCAACAGCAATTCCAATATCAGCCTTCTTCAATGCAGGGGCATCATTGACACCATCTCCAGTCATTCCACAAATGTGTTTTCTAGCTTGCAACTTCTTCACAATTTCATATTTGTGCTCTGGAAACACTCCGGCAAAACCATCAGCCTTCTCAATCAATTCATCCACAGGAAGGGCATCAATGGCTGGATCCTTATTCTGCCCCAGCAAAGCAGAAGAGGGGTACATGTTAGTTCCCATTCCAAGCCTTCGTCCGGTTTCCTTGGCAATAGCGAGTTGATCCCCTGAAAATTACACACAACTAAGTTATAACTGATAGAAGAAGAGGACGGTCGTTCGGATTGAGAAAATTATATAAGAAGGTCTACCGGTTATCATTTTAACATTGACACCTAAGTTTAGAGCTCTGCGGATGGTTTCAGCACTGTCATGTCTAGGGGGGTCAAAGAGAGGCAGTAGGCCGACAAACTGCCACGGGCCTCCAGTACTTTCCTTTCTCCTCTCTGGAACATCCTGGGAAAAAAAAATAAAAATTTTAGATAAGAAAAAAACATTGAGAAACGTTCATCAAGTTTGCATGAAAAGAAGTTGAGACTTCTCATGGAAAACCTGTATAGCCACAGCTAGAGATCGAAGGCCACGCTCTGCAAATTTATCAATTACGCTGTGAACCTTGTTCTTAACATCTTCCCTTGCATTGCAGAGGGTCAACATCTGTTCACATCAGCAGAAAAGAAAAGAGTTTACCGAGATATACTTTCAAGTAATCCACATTACATTAGTATGAAAAACTCAACTTTGTGAGGCTAAAGATATAAGCCACCAGTTTTAATTCCTAATGCAAACTAATGAATTAAAGCAAAAAAAAGTCCAATAATATTTGCTATTGTCATTGAAATTTACTGTTCAAATATTTTTCTCATATTATGTTGTAATTTAAAAAGGGCCAAATTAAAAAAAAAGATATATTTAACAAAAATTTATTTAAATAATAGTAATATAAAAAATGACACTACACCACGAGAGCCTTCTAGGCAAAAGGTTATTCTATGTACAGCTGTTCACATGCACTATCGTGTATATGTTAAATGAGTCAAAAAACAGAAACAGGTTTACCTGCTCAGGGGCACCTTTGCTCACACGGAACCACTGCCCATGAGCGTCATAGTAAGTCAAAGCAGTCCTCTTGTCTACAGGGTTGAAGGGAAGGAAATGGACCTCTGTGATGCCTGCTCTTGCCTGTAAAAACATTAAAACCAATAAATAATCATAAACACAACAAAGAACTAGTTCCTAACTAATAGTTACTCCAAGATATACCTCTTTGGGATCTGCAAGCATCCCCACCATAGCTGCATCAATTGCGTCCTGATTCTCAGTCCTAGAAGCCCTTGCAGAATAAAGAATAACATCCTCCTTGCTAACTCCTTTGGCAAAAATCTCGACGAGATTCTTATCAATGCTCAACTTGTTAAGTGTCAAAGTCCCAGTTTTATCGCTACACAGAACATCCATTCCAGCCATCTCCTCAATGGCGGTCATTCGTTTCGTAATTGCTCCCTGCTGAGAAAGGCGATGAGAGCCAATAGCCATGGTGACTGAAAGCACAGTGGGCATGGCAATCGGGATTCCACCGATCAAAAGGACAAGCAGGTTGTCGATGCCACTGCGATACTTGCGGTGCTGAATTGGGTACATGACAATGATCTCCACAATCATACCAGTGGCAATGGAGCAGATGCAGAAGTTTCCAATAGCGGTAAGAACCTTCTGGAAGTGGCCAACCTGGTTGGTGCTATCAACGAGATGGGCAGCCTTGCCAAAGAATGTGTGAACACCAGTGGCAATCACAACTGCCTCAATCTCTCCCTGTTTGCAGGTTGAGCCAGAAAAGATTTCATCGCCGGGGTTCTTAGTGACGGGAAGAGATTCACCAGTGAGAGCAGACTGATCGATCTTCAGGGGATCACCCTCAAGCAGGCGGGCATCAGCAGGGATGATATCTCCCAGCTTGATGCTAATGATGTCTCCTGGTACAAGGATGGCAGCATCTTCCTCGGTCCATCGACCATCCCTGAGCACCTAATGAAATTGAAGCACGCAGAAATTACTAACTGGAAAAACAAAAAATACCTTGAAAGATAAACCAAGTTAAAAACCATACAAACTTCATAAGCCTTGTTCCAGTCCATCATTTTGTCTAAAAAATTATAACTAAATAGAAACAAAAGTGGATAAAAAAACACATTTTTTTTTAAAACCATGATAATTATCAGCAATTAAAATTTAAATTCAAATAAGCCTTTATCATTCTTTTTTCCAAAGAATCCATCAATTAATATTCAAAATTCTATTTTTAAGAAAAAAATGAATTTTTAAAGGGGGGGAAAAAGTCGAAATTACCTTAGTTTTGGGAGCAAGCTGGGCCATGAGGGCTGCAGCTGCGTTGCCGGCGTTGTTCTCTTCGATGAAGGAAATGGTGGAGTTAATCACTAGAAGGACGACAATTCCAATAAAATCCTGCCAATCTGGATCCTTGCCCCTCGCTGCAATGGCTATGATGGCGGCAGTCTCCATCACCCAGGATAGGGGATTCCACATGAAACCAAGAAACTTCAGTAGTTTGCTCTCCTGTTATATATATATATATGTATATATAAGAAAAAAATCCCTGATTCTCATCCTTCTAGCGAGAAAAAAAAAACAGAGATTATATGAAAGAAGACGAGCAAACAGGCTTCAAGTTTGAAATTTGACCTTTTTCTCCTCGAGCTTGTTGGGACCGAAGATCTGAAGCCTGTTCGCTCCCTCCTCGGAGGAAAGGCCTTCTTTGGTACATTTCAACTGCTCGAATACCTCCTCAATGGGAATTTTCTCCTGAGAACAAATAACAGGTTATGAAAATTGAGATCATCATCGGTTTTTTCTTCCTACAACAAAAATTAGATTTCGAGGAAAAAGACCAATCTTTCGAAATCAAAAGCCAAAGAATTTGTTAATATCGACATATGGAAAATCAATCTAAGGTAAAAGACAGGTTAAATCGCTATTCAGGCACTAGCTGGACATGCGGTATGTACGGGACAAGTGGAATGTAAAATTGAAATTGGTCTCTCTCTCTCTCTCTCTCTCTCGCTTTCTATGAGCAATAGAAAACCTCAAAATAGCAATAGCACAAGCAAAACGTAATTGAACTGCCGGCCACAACCACTGTATCGCAAAAACTCAAGGAAAATCCTTTGCTATCCAAATCACTGGAAGCAAAAATAGCAAGTTTTCTAATCCCTAAATTTTCGGCATCAAGTCAGCAAATCTCGGAAGAAAATGCAAAACACGCATCACATTCTTCTAAGCGTCTAGTAAATAATGGCTCCCCTTTTTAATTCTGATCCTTTTTTCCAATCCTTTCCTAACGTAACCTCAATGAATTGTAAAAGCGACAGAACAAAATATCCCAGACGGAGAAAAGATGAATAATTCAAATCAGCTCACAGAATTTAAAATAGAAACATAGAAACAGAGCTTAATTCATAATTTGAACAATAAAGATAAAATCCATGTTCGAATATTACTATATGTCCGATCGGCAGCCAAACAAAATCATCACAGAGACATTTAAGCACTAATTTTACGAAAGATAAAGATAAATATCCAATCAAAAGTACAACTCCGACCAAACCAAAAAAACGAAAAAAAAAATCAATATTCGTTACCAGATCAACAGTCTCATTCTTGATTCCTTCAAGGCTTAAGCCTTTATCACCTCCCATCCTGTTGCCTCTTCTTCCTCCCCCACGTTATGTTAACGAGAATCCTCCAAAAACCCAAATGAGAGAGTGAAATTGAAAAACACTATAATCAAGATTGTCGGGAGCAATGAATCCTCCCTCTCTCTCCTTGGTGCTGGAGGAGAAGAGAAGAAGACGAAGCGAAGACGATGGGAAAGCAAACAGAGAGCGGAAGAGGCTTTACGCAGTCGACTCATTCGACCTCCTCCCGCCAGCATTTTATAGCAGAGAGGCGGACCCCACTGCCTTGCCCGGCAATTTACAGTGCGATGGGTGGGCCACCTCCTTGCAAAGCCCGCCAACCAGCTCTAACCCGCTCGCCTGACCCCTGGCACTTTCGGTTACGGGTGCCAAAATGGCCGGTTCACAGGTCCTATTTTGTTCATTAATAAATTTGTGTTTGATTCGTTCCTTAAATTAATCAGTCGAATACGAGTCATTTTTCTCGCTCAATATATAAACGAGCCAAATATAGATAAAAGTTTATTCTTTCACACTCGCATGTGTGTATATAATGAGTAATTTTTAAATAATTTAATTATCTATAAAGATTTATAATTATGTAAAATTATAAATTAAAAATACAACATAAAAATATTGAATTATTCTTAAATGTTATTTTAATATAGATAAAAAGAATTAAATCTCATCTCAACTCTTGATATTCTACAACTGCATGATTAGGGTTGTCAAACGTTTATTTGTTCTCTCAAAGCTCATGTTTGGCTCTCAAAGCAAACAATCCGAACACGAACAATTTTTTTTTTATTATTATTTAAAATATAAACGAGTCGAATATGAACATTCGTATTTTTTTACTAGTGGAACACGAGCTAAGCCCTGGCTCGCTCATGTTCGCCTCATTTACACCCCTACTTGTCGTTTTGCTTTTAATTTAAAGGCAAGAAATGGACATTAAACCGATATAACTAGATTGTCGTAATTTAGAAGTTATATCAGAAATCAAAAAATGATTGAATTCTGATTACATATTATTCAACATTTATTAGAAGTAATTCAATAATAATAATAATTTATGATAAAAAATAAAAACAAATATTTGACGAAAACAATTATATAAATTTATAATTAAATTATTCAATAAATATTTACTAGATCAAATAAAATTTTTTAAAGTAAACTTATAATCTTGCTTTTTTTTTTTTTTTTTTACTTTATATGATGTATTTTTATTAATTCGTGTATTAAAGTTTTTCCCACCTTTTATTCTCAGGATGTTAAGCTTTGTCCAATCAATATGTGGCAACTAACAAATCAGAATCCAAGTACATATAAGTCGCCAGAAAATTCATTTAATTTTAAAAAAAATATTAATACATGTTGGATGCTTGGATAAAAATTTTTTTAAGAGTTAAATGTATGTTCTCTTAAGCTCTGATTTCACTAACTTTATAGTTAAACAAGACCGTCGACAATATGAACCCAATAACTTTAAGAGCAATTCGATCTGAATGTAAATGAATTTTTATCAAGCATTTGAATTATGATTGAATACTTTAATATATTAATTGAAATGTTAAATGATTTGCATTTTTAATATGGTCATGATCGAATTAAGCCTCCTGATAAGAAAAATTCATTAAGCCTAATATCACCTAATTATGATGTTATTGAAGTACTATTACGATAATGATTTATGACTCAATGAATTTGCACTATTTTGAGAATTTGGCTAAATCCTCCCAAACTTTTATAAACAGAATCTCATTCTTAACAATGATAATGGGAGTATGCTAAAACCTAAGTCTATACACTTTAGAAAAAATGAAGCCAACAAACACCATCAATTATCACAAATAAGTGTGGTCCAACTACTATTTTAAGACTATGGTAGCCCAACTCATGTTTTTAGGCTTTTGTTGCCAAATTTTTATAGCTTAGAAAGACTTACTAACCCAATTTTTTCTTCTCAAATAAAATATGACAACTATTCAACTTGAAATATTTTGCTTTAGTGCAATTTTTATTTTCAAAGTTTTCAACAAAATATATAGCAACCCTCTTGTAATATTTTATTTATCTATTTGTAATGTGTTTTGGATCTTCGTGTAACACTAAAATAATAATTGTATATACTAAAATACCCACATTAGTCTCAAAGAGAACGAACGACCAAAATGAAAGGACCTCTTTTCGATGTAAGCAATCAACCGACGATTAAAGGCCAATCATGAACACGTGTCTCCAAACCCGGGATAGATTCAAGCTCCGGAGATGGTTCCCCGCTCAGCAGAGGCAAAACAGGCCAAAAGTGGGGCGTGAATCATCCTGACAGAGACTTTCCTCAAATAGCCCGCGTGGGCTGCAATAAGATCCGCTTAAGACCTTACAAAATTCGGAGATCCGGTCAAGGTGACGAAAGGAGAGACGCGGGCCCTGTAAAACTCGATTCAAACAGAAAATGAGCTACAACTCACTATGAAATAAGCCGACTGATCACATGATGTTCGCGAGCTGCTGCAACGACCTTCTTTAGACTAGGTCCCCGAGGAGGAAGCTCTTCACCCTAACATGTTTATTGAAGTAGCGAACGATTCGTCTCTTAATCTCCTTCTGCCAAAACACTGAATTTGTCCACATCTCCTCTATAAGGTCTAGTGCTAGCATTGCCCCCTCGATATTAGCTTGTTGTCATCCAGTAAATTCACCTTCTGGAAACGAAAAGGTTATGACAACCCTTTTGGCTATGATGATCATACTCGATTAATAGCACTGCCTCCATTCCGTGAGTCATCATGAATTGGGTTTGGTCGGTAGCTGACGACAACGTTGTGCAAATTGCCCAAAGCACTGACAGTAATTGCTCTACCCAACTTCTTTTGGCTCCTTCGACTTTTTTTCATAAAGGTTTAGAATGAGTTTGTTAGCTACTTTGGCCTGCCCGTTTTTTCTAGGGTGATGAATTGAACTTCAAATTAATGTCCTTCTTTGTGCAGAAGTCTTTCATTTGTTGATATACAAATTAGGTCCATAGTCAGTGATAATCATGAGTGGCAATCCAAATCTGCAGATTAAGTCAGACCATATGAAATTTTTGACTGCCTTTGTGTTGGTCCGAGCAAGGGGCTATGCTTTGACTCATTTCAAAAAATAGTCGGCCGACACCAAGGGAACTTCCTTTTGCACTTTGATGGAGAATGCCCGAGGATGTCTAGTCCCCACATGGTGAATGACCAAGGATGGATTAGAGGTTGCAGCCTCTAAGCCGGCTGATGATGTAATGGGGCATATTTCTAACATTGTTCACACCTTGAAAATTCTGCAGCATCTTTCACGAATGTCGGCCAGAACTATCCTTGCCTTTGTACATGGTAAACTAAGGTTTTGTACTTCAGATCAGCTGTCACATTCTTCATAGTGCACTTCTAGGAGCACATCTTGAATTTCATCTTCCCTTAGGAATCTCAGGTATACTGAAGTAAAAGGCCTCTTGAACAACTTTCTGTCAATTAATATGTATAGGGCGGCTTAGATTCAAAAGAGTCTTCGATCTTTGATGCTCTCGTCTATTTTTTCAATTTCTAGATAGTGGATATATGGTTCCACCCATCTTTTAGTCCTGTCAGTGACCATCACTATGGGCTTTGTCTCATTGATTGCTGGCAAGGTGAGTTTTCTAAGTATTCCTCCCAAACATACGCATTTGAAGAGAATGTTGCCTACTTGATTGTCCTCCCAGTTGACGTGCTAGATGTGAAAGCTCTTAAATCTTCTAATTTATTTCTTTGTCTTGACAAAGTAACTGACCATCATCTCTTCCAAGACTTTGAAATGTCTGTTAGCTTAACTCATAATTAGCAGAGTGTCAGACCTCACTAGAAGGTCTCAGACGCTAATTCATAGGATAGACCAAATCTAACAATCAACACTTCGTACTCTGCCTAATTTTTTGTGATGTTGAATTCTACTGAGACTGATTGATAGAGATGTTCTCCGACCAGGATGTATAGAACCAGACCCAACCCTGTTGCTGCCTGCTTGGAGACCCCGTCGACGTATAGGATCCATGTGTTGTCGTCTGAGACAACTCCTTCATTCTACTCCTATTTCAAGGAGAAGACAGCCAGGAAGTTTACAATCGCTAGGGCCTTGATTGTCGTCTGATGGGATGTAGGTGATGTTCAATTCACTGAGAGTACTCTATCGAAATGCCCTGTCAGTGTGAGTACAGTCTTCAACGGATGGTCCGTGATGACCCGAATTAGATGCATCTGGAAGTATGGTCTAAGTTTACCAACAAAAAAAATCAATGCAAATGATAGTTTTGCAAAATTATATACTTGGTTTCGGTGCCGTGAAACTCTCGGCTCGTGTGGTAGATCGGGTACTGCTTGCCTCCTCTCGGACCGAAACTAAGCTAACGGTCTCTCATCTGACTTTGAGATACAATGACAGTTCTTCCATGAATTAAATGTCATTCTAAGTTGGAACTGAAACAAATAATGACGAGGACATTGCCCACTCAGCCTGATGAACGATTCTCAATCAACAGAATTATTCTCTCGGACTGAAACCAAAGCAAGTCATGGTGGGGATATGGTACGTAGAATCAAACTAAAGTGAGAAATGATCCTTCACCAATAGAACTTAAACTTCATTTAGGTCGGGAACCGAAACAGGTAATGGCATGGGCATTGTCCACTAAGTTAGTGGAAAAACTCTCAATCAACATAATTAGTTCAAAATCTCAACCAAGGAATCTTTCAAATTTCTAAATGCCTCCTCGCATTCAATCGTCCATTTGAAATGTTGATTCTTCCTCAAAGATTTGAAGAATGCCTCATCATTGTTGCCCGATTTTGGGCTGAAATGACTGAGTCTGACAATTCGACCAGTCAGCCTCTGGATTTCTTTAATATTTCGTGGAAGTGCATATCCAATATCACATGCACTTTCTCCGAGTTGGGCTTCAGTCCTTTGGGGGCCAGTAGAAAGCCGAGGAACTTTCTGCTCAACTCCTCGAAGATACACTTAGAAGAATTTAGTCTCATGCTAAATTTTTTTAGTGTTTCGAATGACTCTTTTTCATGTCTTCAATGTGTTGTTTGAGTGTTTTAATTTTAACCAAAGTATCATCGACATACACCACAATATTTTTTTTTCCTTTTTTATTAGACAAATTTACATTCATGAGGCGTTGATAGGTCTCTTAAGCTTG